AAAGTAATGGCCCTGCCAATGCACATCCGCTGCCTCTTCCTCCAGGAGCTTTAGGACAAACTCAATCATCAATTCCATCACAAACAGTTGTCATTCATCAACCAGCAGAAAGGTTAGCTGCATCATCAACTAAAAGTCAATGGCAAAAAGGAAAACTTATTGGTCGTGGTACATTTGGAAGCGTATATGTTGGAACCAACAGGTAAGCATGTATTCTGGAATTATCTCTCTTGGCAAGTTCTTGTTTTTTTTTTTTCCTTTTGTGGCAGATCTTACTTCTCCTCTTTCATGAGCAGGGAGACTGGAGCTCTATGTGCAATGAAGGAAGTTGATGTAATCCCTGATGATCCCAAGTCTGCTGAATGTATAAAACAGTTGGAGCAGGTTTCTTTCCATTTTCTTTATTGAACTCCTTTAAAGAACCAATATATAGTATATTTGCTATTTGTTCTGCAATCTGTTTGTTGGCTTCTCGACATTTTAAACGTGTGTAGTAAGTGCTTGTAAAAACCCTAAATTGCTTAGGCGCTATTCCATTACAGAATTTCTCCAATTCTTACCCACCTCTGTTTCTCCACCTCCCTTAAAATGTGAAAGCAATGAAGTTTAACTTGTGAATAATCAAATAGGATCGATCTCTGTGGTATTTTCTGCCAACTATGAATGACGGCTGTCATTATGACCAGTCAATGTGGCTTCGTTTTCTACACAATTATTATTATTTTCTTGTTAGGAGAAAAAGTTTATGATATTACAAATTAGAGTTAAATTACCATATCAGTGATGCTTACACCACTCCCTTCACTAATTGTTATTTTTTATCCAAACAAGTAAAAGGATGGTGAGTACGCATCCTTTTCTTTTATTTCCTTTTTCTCCTCCCCTCAGTTCAAATAAGTATGAGACATTTGGAATTAGTCTAGAAAACAAAAAAATAACTAGGAGTCACACCAAGGATTCCTCAAGCATCATCGCTAAAGTGGGTTCTTAATCATCAAACATATGATTGTATCACACAACTAATATTGAGAGTAGTCTCAAAATAATTTATTAGTTCAACAAATGCATCTCAGTTATGAGATCACGTAGGAACTTATAATGCTTAAACATAAAATTCTAATCTACCTATACTTACGAATCATACTTAAGAACTTATAACTTAGAAGAGCTTAAACTATAAATAAAGTTTGAGAGCTACCCTAACATTGCCCATGCTCTTACAATAAATTGCAGCTTTGCTAGAAATACAACTACTAATCTGTTTAGAAGTTCTAGTCCACTATTCTTCAACATTCTCCACCAGGTTGGAGAAAATTCATCCATAAATTTTTAAGTGGCAAATGATGTAAAATCCTCAATCTTGTAGCTTCCAAATTAACACCTTTCATTTACTCGTCCTTGTCAAAAACAATGAACAGACAATTATTTGAGAATGTGAAACCTTGGCAATAGGAGAAATCAATATATTGACAAGTTTGTGCTTCTTGTTCATTCTTGAGTTAATTATCAGTAAACTCAATTGTTTTGTACTTTTACAAAAATCTTTTAGGTGAAAGATCTTGAGCCATTTGAAAGTGGGGGATTTTTTTTTTTTGTTCCTCCATTCCAGCAAACAGATAAAAGTTTAAATTGGTTCTAACTATTCAAGTGTGTTTTTCGTCTTTTATCTTCTTTATTGATTGTTGACTCTGGTGGGAGTCAATTTTTATGCATCTTTTCATAGTCATAGGACACCAAAACTACATTCTTCACACCATGCATAAAATCATAAGTACTAATAATATGTCATGCTGAAGTCGTTTAGAAATCCAAGTTTAGGCTAGAAGAATATATGCAATTTTAAGAGAAAATACATAAACAGGATATTCATTATAAGCATCATAATGAATAGAAAGAAGACATTTTTGAGGTACTGGGATATTCATTATCTCTAACCATGCTACTTCATATGTCTGTAGATATGGTTGTATTGAAAGATCTCTGTAGAGGTTGAAACAAGGTTCATGTGACAATCATTGTGAACGAGAAGCTTCTTATCCTCAAATTAACTGAGATTTGAAGTGTTGGAGAATACTTCAGTCTTTTTTCCTTTTAACTGATTAATATGCTTATTACAGCAAAAAGATAAGTATCCTTTGAGGAAGATTGCTCAATTTCCCCCCAATATTCCACATACACAGATTTTCTAGATTTTGTTCAGAAGAGGATTGTAGAGTTGGAATATGATGAAACCAGCTGTAACCATGAAGAAAGCATGCCAAAAAGAATTCATGGAACGCTGGTTTAGAGGAGGCTGAGGTAGGACATTCTGGATAAATCAATTAAACAAAGCACATTCTGGAGAAGTCCATTCTCGAGTCACACATGTATGAAATCTAAGTTTCAGTCTCCAGTCACATAGGATGTTAGGATTCTGGCTGTCTTGTAGATTGGGAGCCAATTTGAGGTATCATAACTGCGATGGTGGCAATGTGGTGGAGCAGTGGCGTCTGAGCTTCAGCGGCAAGTGATGTGTTGCTATATAGTTTCTTGAGGTGGGACTCTGGAGCATGCTTATCGTATCTGTTGTCACTGGTAGCGGCTGTGTTGAATACTGCGAGGGGTTAGTGATCTGGGAAGCTGATACAGTTAAAATTTTTGTTTGATGATTTGTTTTTTCTTGTTCCAGATGGATAGGATATGTTTGGGTATGTTATTTATTTATTTTTAAATAGACATGTTTTTTATTTATTTTTTGATGCAGGACTAATTAGAGAAAATTTGAGTAGTTGGAAATTTTTTATAAACATAAATATCACACCTAAGAACGAGCACATAAAAGAAAAATAACCAGGACCTTAGAATCTGTCATGCATCTCATCTTTGGTAGGTTCTCAAGCAGTACACTAAAGATGTCATTGTATCACATGACTGGTGTTAAAAAAGCTATCGGAATAATTTACGAATTCACTGCTTCATCTCGAAAAGTGAGATTAGGCAAGGCTTTATAATGGTTAAAAATGAAATCTTAATCTAACTATAATTGAAGAATCCTAATTGAAAACTTAACAACTTAAAAGAATTTAAACTATAAATAAAATCCCAAAAGCTACTAAAAACCTAACTTATCCTAATTCTTACAATAACTAGTAGATTAGGTAGAAATACAACTTCTAATCTACTTAGAAATTCTAGTTCATATCGATTCTCCATAACTTTATGCTTCTAGAATTGCATTTGTAGGAACATGGTTAAAATGGCATCCATTGGGCACTCTTGTTCAAACTATAATCTGGATAATAGATGATATCTTCATCAAGCAGATCCATCGGGGCATCACTCACGCAAAGAACTCACGGAAGTATCTGTGGGTCAAATATTTTGATTAGGGCAGGTTTTTGTCATTAACTAAATGCAAAGAAAACTAGCCATGATGGATTACTAGTCAAGGTCATTCTTTTTTTCGATTTGATAGCTTAAGTGGTAATACCTAAAGCCATTTACTTTCTTTTTTTGGTGCCAAACAGCTAAGACAACTAATAATGGGATAGTTTCTGCAGGCTCTCTTCCTGGAATGGTTAATTTCATAAATTATGTGGATTGGAACTGTCAGGATTTAGAGATGATTGTCTCCAAATTGTCAATCATGTCTCTGAAATATATGCTAGATACTATGCATCCATCAAATGACTCTGGCAATGCAGTTATATCATTGAAATTTCCCTTTGTCTTTATAAGTGTATCTTTTCATACTTCCAGTACTTGTTGCAGGAAATTAAAGTTCTTCGTGATCTAAAGCATCCAAATATAGTGCAGTATTATGGCAGTGAAAGAGTAAGAATCCTACATTCTATCAATTCATTTTCACTATTTCAGATTTTTGCAACTTAAAATTTGATTTATCCAAAATTTGTTTCTGATTTTGCAGGTTGATGATCATTTTTATATATACTTGGAGTATGTTCATCCTGGATCAGTTAATAAATACATCCGTGAACATCATGGAGCCATAACAGAAGCTATAGTTCGCAATTTCACTCGTCATATTCTCTCTGGGCTGGCCTACTTGCATGGTAGGAAGACAATCCACAGGTGAGAACATGCATAATTAGAAGGGAGCAAAAGAGTCATGATGGGATTGAATTGAACTTTAACTTTTAGACAATTACATAACTTGCAATATTCCAATAAATGGCAGACAGGGAAATTATCTGATAATAAATTGTAAGATAAATTGCTAATTTAGTACTTAACTATGGGGCTATTTTGCAATTTAGAGGTTAATTCTTTTTGTTACAATTTAGCCGCTAAACTTACAAAAGTATCTCAAATATAACTGTTGATGAATTTGTTTAATAGTAAAAGTTCTTTCTGTAATCTTTGGGTAACCTAAAACACGATATAAGAAATATAATCCTTCTGTGTAGGACAAGAAATTAAAAAAGTATTCAAAAGATAGTCATTGTAGACCTCTTCTTCTTTCTTAATGTCTATTATTGAAAAACTCAATTGCTTAAATAAAATAAATTAATTGTTCTTATTAGGTTTGTTAAGGTTAATCTTTAGTTTTTACAACTTTCAAACTCTATTTAAAACAAAATAATATAAATGAAAACATAAAATATTTCTGTCAAGATCTTCACGGTTATATAAAATCATTGTTGAATTTTTTTTAAAAAAAAATTGTGAGTTTGAGAACCAAATTCTAACTTAAAAGAACTTTTATAACTAAATAAAACATGGTACATAGTTCAAAGACTAAATGGAAATTGTCCCTAAAATTTAAGATGCTAGTTGTTGTTGGTTCAAACATCTGAGGAGACAGACATAATTCTACTGCAGAACATTTCAAGTGAAAAAGTAGTTGGGAGAGTGTAAAGCATTTATAGGTTCCAAATTTCTTTGTTTCTTCTTGATCTGGAGTTTTCTTTGACATGATTGATTATGCGTTATAGAGATATCAAATGTGCTAATTTGCTTGTTGACGCATCTGGCATTGTGAAGCTTGCAGACTTTGGTATGGCAAAACACGTAAGTACTGAATTTCTTAGTGCATCTTTTTTTCTTGAGGAACAATTTCTTTCTGCAACTTGAATGTTTCTTGAATGATCAATAATTTAGGATTATGAATTCTTGTTGATGCAGTTTGCATCGCCTGCATTTAAGATACATATGCAAGGTTACTTGCTCGTTCGCTGTTTTTACTATATCACTTTGGTCAAATGGTGAAGTTTGTTATTGTCCCTTGGATTAGTAATTAGCTGATATGGCCTGTTGTATGCATTGTTTTCCCCTCAACCCCACCCCTTTTCTTTAAGATAGATTGCTTACGTGGTTAAGCTGTTAGTGAAACTCCAGTAATGTAGTTATACTGTCATTAAGCTCCCATAATGCCTTTACTTTAATATTTTAACTGTTGTTTATATTCAGCTTACAGGTCTATCGTATGAGCTCTCTCTGAAGGGCAGTCCATACTGGATGGCTCCAGAGGTGTTTCCCAATGCTTTGATATATTAATTTCCTTGTATATAGTTTCTGCATTTTATTTACATGTTAATTCTGTGCAGGTCATGATGGCTGTGATAAAAAAAGATGACGATCCTGATCTTGCTTTGGCTGTTGACATTTGGAGCTTGGGTTGTACTATCATTGAAATGTATAATGGTAAACCTCCTTGGAGCGAGCTTGAGGGGGTGAGTCTTCAGTTGCACTCAATAGCTTTCATTTCGTCAGAATAAAGATTGCCAATGCATCTCCAATGCCATGAAGATATTTCTCAGTTTTACAAGTATATCCAGAAATTTTATCTTGTGTGATTATCTTCTGCTACTTTTCTTTTTATACTTCTCAAATATGATTTGGGGGTACAACGTCCACAGAACACATGCAAAAGTAGGTAGACATCTGTCCACCAGTTATCATTTCCTACTGGTTTTTGACATGGCTTTTAGTTGTTAAAATACTGGTCTAGTGGCATTAAATCATCAAATGTGATTGCAATAATTTTAATCAACATTGTAGTAGCATAAGCCATCCTTTTCTTCACAGTTCTTCATTTCCTTCATATACAAACTCTAGAGTGCTTTGCTGAATCCTTGAAATCTCTTAGCTTTTTAAAGCATCAAAGATGATCTCTGGTTATATGGTTTTCTTTCTTCAGCAAAAACTCCATCACTGTGGCAACTTGACCCAACCCTTTGTTTGCTTATTTACTTAGATTGCTTTTTCCAAAGAGAATGAGGCGTTTGGGCCCTGGTCTTGGGTGATTGTAAGGGAATGCATAAATGTTCCTCATTTAGTCACTGATTCTTTTTTTTTTTTTTTCTGCAGCCTCAAGCAATGTGCAAGGTTCTGAATAGAACCCCACCTATACCAGAAACATTATCTCCAGAAGGAAAGGACTTCCTTTGTTGTTGCTTTCGTAGAAATCCTGCCGATCGGCCATCAGCTGATATGCTGCTTAAGCATCCCTTTGTCCGAAATTCAGGTGATCATTTTAGAAGTCCAAACAAAATGGTGAGCTTTACGACCTGCTTCTCAGCTATTAATAATCTCAAAGATGACTTACTTCATTTTGACTTTAGGATGTGATCATCTTTTATCTTAGGATAAATCACAAAGTCCAAGAAACTGCAATGTGCAGAAAAATGATTTTTTGCCTACCTCTCCTGGAAGGCCAGTTTCAAATTAGAAGCCGTCATGTAAGAGGTGCATATTCTTGCCACAGCAACCAGATTTTTGCTCAAAACGGTTTTCTGTTGAAGAATAATTGCATTTCTCCATGGCCACTGCATCTGCTTAAAATTAGTTACCAGTCTTTTGTGTTGTTTGGTTTTTCTTTTATTTCTTTGATAACTATTAAGCATGCTATGCTAAAACTGTTAAATGCTCAGCAGCTTCTCACCACTCTCTTGAAGTCGTGCGTGGTTCATCCGGAACACAAATGATTCATGGTTCAATCCTCTCATGAATGTTTCTAACAACATGCCCCTCGGTGCTTTCGACAACCGTCCTTTTGCTGTTTTAAGGACTTATGGAAGGGAAGTTGTGCTCTTCCAAGCATTTGCTGGTGTTGAACGCATTCATTATCTTGGAGGTTTAATCTTTACATATGGGAATTCAGGGTAGAGAAACTAAATGATGGTGTTTGTACGTCGAACTATATTTTGGAGTGGGAACGGGAGCTAAGGGAAAAGAAATAGAGGGGAGGGAAGAAAGTCCAAGTAATCTACTCTCCTCTCTCTTGTTTGGATGCTAATGAAGGAGAAGAAATTAAATGGGAGATAATGGTTTGCAATTCTTAATTGTTTGGTGGCAAAGATAGAAAATTGTGTTTTTACATCTTTACCAATTATAAGATTATTTAAACAAAAATTTTGGTCGTATGTTGGTAAGTATTATAAACATGCCGCGTAGTCCAAATGCGCCTAAAACCACTCATATGCTTGAGATTACTGGAAATGCATCTGCCGAAATGGTCATAAATGCTTGCTTTCCTGCACCTAATACTTACCAAGGCGCTTAAAATGTCTAAAAACACAACTGCCCATCAGAAATACCAACAAGACCTATGGAGTATACACATTGTATAAGCTTAAGCTTAAGCTTTTGGAACATATATACATCTACACGCTATACAGATATACTACGTACCCCTTAATACATGTACGAAGGTCCATCACCAACAATAAATTCAGTGGCTAGTTGGAGATTACATTAATCAACCTCATGCCTTCACAGAATATTATCATCTCTTTTTCTTTTTGAAAATTGTTTTTTTTTTAAAGTAATTTTATTATGTATTCCGTTAATAATTTTAGGAATTTTACTTTATTTTTAAATTTATAATAATTTTCCATTATTTTGTTATAAAAAATAAAAAGAATATTAAAATTTAGATTAAAAAAAAAAAAAAAAAGACAGGTGAAAATGAAGAGCGCCCGTTTCAAAATCATTTTTTTTACCTGGAATCGGTACCCAAGCCTTAGCCGTTAGGCTTAATATCTTTAATTTCTTCTCTGCTTTCAGTAACCCAAGCCATCTAAACCCCTTCTCTTCTCTCTATTTCTTCTCCCTTTCATCCTTGTATTCACAGCCAGATCCAGCCATTCTCATCGTTCGGTCTCAGCAAAACCAGTTAGCCAAAACTCCTTTTCCAATTGTCTTATTTTTCTTACTTTTTCACCTGAATCCGCAACCACCGAGATACCCGAATCGCTCGTCTTTGCTCCTTTTACTCTGAAGACCGACGCTGACATTACCATCCATTTCTCTGCTCTTCGTTGCCTTTCTCTTTCTCGGCGTCTTCAACAGTAATGGCTGGCACTCACTACGGCCATCTTCATGCTGCAACTCCTGTCTCTCTTCATCGGCAATAAGCAGTTATGGAGCAGAAACCTGGGGACTTCACTATCTTCCTATCAGGTCCTTGTGACAGTTCCGAGATAGGTAAAATCTCCTTCTCAGTTTGCACGAGTTTATAGATGTTTTGATAGCCTTTCAAATGGAAATTTCTTTTGAGGGAGTGGTAATCTTGTTTTGGTATTAATCTGAAAATTTAGGTGAACACTCAGACGTATATTAGTCTGAGTTTGAATGAAAGACAATTAGGAGTTTGGTTAGTTGTCTTATATTAATAAAATGGTTGGTTTGATTTTATTTCTTTCCTTGGTTACATGATGGTGGTTATGGGTCTTTGACAAAAGCTTATGTGCAATGAAGTTTAGATTTGCAGCTATTGTAATATGTTGATTTAGTCGTAGCATATATCACTTACAATCACAATTCCCTAGTGTTTTTATATATTCTTCAACTTCTCAACTATAAGCTTAATTATAACTTTATTAATTAATAACTAATATAGTTATAATCTTATCTTACAATAATGTATATTTCTCAAATTATTATTGACACAGTAATTAAGTTGAGTTAAATAAATTAAATATCAAGGTAAATTAAGAATCAGAAATCAGTTTCAAAATTATATTTCACTCCGAGTTTATAGTGATTTAACTAAAAAGTATAAATAATTGAATGGATGAAAATACTAAATTCTAATCGTTGCATTTATTAAAAATAATGAAATTATTTATTTTTTCATTTTGATTGAACTAACAGTTTAGGATGTATATCTTGACCAAAAACATAAATGAACAGATATAATTTATAAGTTTATTTTATCCAGTTACTTCAACAATCTATTTTCTAAAAAATTATATTAGTTTACACTTCTAGAGAGTTTATAAGCTCAATGGCTTTTAAATTTTTGAAAAATGGTGAGTCAGACGTTGTTTAATAATCCCGGTTTAAAGGATTCTTGATTCGTTCTCATATTTTCAGTAATTTGGCTTTGAGTAGATTTGCTATTATTAGATATTTGATGGTAAAGTATGCCATTTTATAATTGGGGTTAGGTAGAAGTGAGAAGTTTAACCTCATTTGATTTCAAAATAATTTTCTTCTACCTTAACTCAATTTTACTGAATGGATTTGTTTGATATATCATCAGTTTATTTGTGGTGAATATGTAAATTATAGGTGTTATGCTTTACAGGAGTTGTGATATCTGCCTTGTGATTTTAGAACTGGGGTTGGTTATCTATCATTCTCTGGGGTTTTATGTCTAAAATGTTCATATCTGACAGGTTAGTTGTTGAGTGTTTGTTTGTAGGAAAAGTTATTATGCTATGTTATATTGAAACCAAAAGTTACAGCCTATACATAAAGAAGGAAATCCTTACACTAGGAAACAAAAACAGAAAAAGGAATTCTAGCCTAATAAGGACACTGCCTATTTTAAGACTCCATAATCAATTCTGTATCCTAACATAAATGTACTACTACCTCAGAAACATAAATAGTAACAATGAGAATTACTTAATTATCCTCACAGTTCTAAACTTCCCTTCAAGCTAGCATAGATGTTAATCATGCCAAGCTTGGAACTTAGTGTTCAAAATTCTTCCTTGGCAAAGCCTTGATAAAGATATCTGCAATTTGTTGGCTTGTGTGGATATCTACTACCTTGATTATTTCGCGTTCAATATTTTCTTTGATAAAATGACATTCTATTTCATTATACTTTGTACGGTCAATGATAAATGTGATTCTTGGCAATGTGTATGGGCGATAGATTTTCACAAACTACTTTTATTGGAGATGAATTTTCGATGTTTAACTCTTGTAAAACCTGATTTAGCCACATTGCTTCATTAATCCTTAGAGCCATGGCCCTGAATTCAGCTTCAGTACTGCTTTTAGATACAATTGGTTGCTTCTTTCTTTGCCAGGTCTAGATTTTCCCAGAGAAAAGTACAACATTCAGAAGTAGATCTTCTATGGGTGACTGAACCTACCCAATCAGCATCAGTGAGCACTTCAACATCTCTTTTTGTGTCTTTTCCAAAGTATAAATCCATGTGAAGAGTCATCTTGAGGTATCTTAGAATTCGATTGACCGTTCCTAAATGCTCTTCATTTGGATTATTCATGAACCGATTAACCACAGTTATGGCAAAGCCCATATTTAATCTTGTGTGCGGAGATAGTTTAGTTTTGCCAACAATCTTTAGTATTGCCCTTTATTTACTGGTGAACTCCTTTTTTGTGGTCCGAATATAATATTTTGCTCCATGGGTGTCTCAGTTGGTTTATATCCAAGCATTCCAGCCTTAATTAAAAAAAAAATCCAAGCATTCCAGTCTCAACAAGTAGATCAAGTATATATTTCTTCTGGGACACAGTAATTCCCTTCCTTGATTGGGCTACTTCAATTCCAAGGAAGTATTTCAGGCCCCCTAGGTCCTTTTCCACAAATTTTTCGGCAAGTAGGTTCTTGAATCCTTTAATTTTTTTTAGGATGTATTAGATCTCCCTTTGCAGTTATAGTTTGTAAATATTTTTGCATCTTCATATTTTCCTCTGAGTTTAATTCCGTGGATTCCACATGCTCAGACCATTGCCCTGATTAGTTAGCTATCACCATAGAAGGGGTGCCTACCACCTTCCATCATATTTATCTTTCCTTATCCATTTTCCTTATACATATCTCTGTTAGATCAGTGTATATTGGCATTCTAACCCTGCCATTATTCGGATTGGTGGAGACTCCATTGAACTAATATGAGTTGTATTATTTATACAAATTGTTATATCAGTGAGGTTGGTAAATATTATGTCCTTTTCTTTCTTTCTTTTTTTTTTCTTTTTTTTTTTAATTAAAAAAATATCATGTCCTTTTCTCCAGCAGATGGGGTAAAGAGGGAAGTTTGTGAAAGCTTAATTAATAAGCTGTGCAGTTCCTTTTCTGATGGCATACATTTCGTGAAACCAATATCCTCCCTGAGGACAAATGAAGTGGATTTGGTATGCACTTTATAACTCATATGCTTCCTCACAAGCTCATCTGCATCATAATTTGTAGTTAACATCTTCATTATTCATTTTTATTGTTGGGGTAGGTACAAGGTGTTTTACGAGCCTTGCAAGGTTTATCTAGTCCCCTGTTTTACTGGGATCTGAGTAGACAGATGTTTTGTGCCAAAAAAGGAATCTACTTGACTCATCTATCCCATACAGGACTGCATGTCCTTCTCAGTCAATTTATGTATGCTGCAACATGTCTGAAACTTGTAGATGCTCTAGTGAATAGAATGGAGACTTCTGTGAAATTGCCTCCTACCTTAAGGGCATTTTCATGTTCAGTTTCTGCATGGCTTAAGGCAAGCATTTGTCTCTTATATAAATTTTGGATGATATTTTTTCTTATTCTCTTATATATACTTTTTGTGAAGACTGAGTTGACTTGCCTCTGTACCAGAGACTGAGGAATATTGCTCTAAAGGAAGAAATGAAGATGAAAAACTCTGACACTGAAGTAACACCAACCCTGTTGGGATTGGCAAGTTCCTTATCAAGGTTTCTTTATGTTACATTTAAAATCTTATTAATCTGAATGCTAATAATTAATGATTCTATTGCCTAGTAATATCGTTCAGGTTTTCTGTAGTCACTTCAAAAACTGTATAGCTGTCCCTTCTCTTTCCTAAAGAAGTTTGCCTGTGTTTTTTTATCTTCTGTTGCATTCTAGACATTAAAGACATCTTACTTATCTTGTTGTATGGTTTTCCCAATAATTCTGTTAACCCACTCTCCCTCAACCAAAGGAAAATCATGAATATGATGTTTTGTGGATGTCTATTTCAGAATGCACTAGGAACCAAGTTCTATGTACTCTTGTTTATTCTTGGAATTCTACTTACTGTTACCCTTTCATTCATATTAGCCTTTGCTCAGGTGCTGAACATTTGTTGCAATTAGTGCGTGGAGCCATCCCTCAAGTATACTTCGAGTCAACTTCATCCATTCCTCATGCTGATATTATTGTTCATGTTCTTGACTATCTTTACAAGAAGTTAGATCAAATATGTCTTGTCCAAGGTGGTGAGGTTGTAATCACTTATTCTGTAACTGTTTAATAGTGTCTTCTTCCAACTTCTTCTGGGTTTCCTGGCTTACTCAATTCAAATTTTGGAGATGTGCCTTTCAGGATAACGCATATTGGATGCTGCTGCATATATTTGTTGGAAGTTTATTGCCCTATATTGAGTGTCTTGATTCTTGGCTTTTTGAAGGGACTCTTGATGATCCTTTCGAGGAGGTAAGTGATACAACCCAATATTGTGCCACCTAAACTGTACATGTGAAATCTTTGTGTTTATAAATTACTGGAAATATGCGGACTTCATCAAAACAGTCAGATTATTGGAAGGTTTTCTGATGATCAGCATGTCTTCTCCATATGTGATGGTGATGTATTCTTTTCTTCTGCAGATGTTCTTTTATGCCAGCAGGGCTATCTCAGTTGATGAGCCACAATTCTGGGAGAAGAGCTACCTCTTGAGACCAGTGCAAAGTCAGAAATTAAATGTCAAGCTCCCTACCCATGACCATATAGGTCAATCAAATGACAAGAAAGAAATGGCTGAAAGGGAGTCTATTTCTTCTACGAGTCATCTGAAAGGAAAAGAGCATAAAAATAAAGAAATTCTAGTTTGCCCTCTATTTATTAAGGACATAGCTAGGTCAATTGTTTCTGCTGGAAAATCATTGCAACTGATCCAACATCTGCCTTCAACATTGTTGACAGCATCTAGGAAGGATAGTTATAGTGATCCTAATGGTCATGACAACCCAAGATATGCTCATCACTATAAGAGCATTGTTGGGTTGTCCCTATCTGAGGCTTTTTGTGTCTCACTAGCGGGTCTTATTGGCCATGGTGATCACATCTCTAAATACTTGTGGAAAATTGATGGAGGCAAGTTGGAGATATCCCCAGTGATTAACAATGGGAATGGCGAAACTTTATCGGTCTTAGCATATTCAGAAAAGATTTGGTATAAGTTCCTGATTGATGCACTTGAAAAGAAAAAAGTGCTAGGCTTAGAATCTGGATATGAGAATTGTAGTGATTTTCCTTGTGGGAAAGAAGGGACAACAGCTACAGGTTTTAGAAATGCACTGCTGACACCATTCTGTTCAGAAAATCCAATCATTTCCATCTCTCGGACATTCCTTGACAAGAATAGGGATACTTGGGAAGCACTCAATCTATCTCGAAAATTTGATCTACCCCCTTTAAATGATGAGGTTCTACGAAAGGCTATTTTTGGGGACAAGAGTGGACCACCTTCTGTATGTAGGGGTACAAACTATACATTCGGTTTCCAATTTTGTGAATCTGAGCATCTTCGTTCTCAGGATGACACAAAACTGTTGGAAGCCTTGTTACCCTTTCCTACCATTCTTCCTTGTTTTCAGGTACTGGTAGACTGATAGTTCTATGAACAATTTTGTACTTCCAGCTTCTATAAAATTTACTCAGAGCATCCTAATGCTTAACTGCAATTTGGAAACAGGATGATCTCCATATGTCAGAACTCTTACCTTTCCAGAAGAACAGCACCCTTCCATCAAGAGTTCTAAGCTGGATTCAAAACATCGAACCAGCAGCTACTCCACTTCCTGTTGTTGTCATGCAGGAATGCCTTACAATCTACATTAGGAGGCAGGTAAGGTGGTGGAGCCTTTTCTGGAGTTTTTCGAGGTTCAGAGGGATAATGGTGATTTACTGTGTTTAACACTTTAAGTACAACATGAGTAGGTGCACTATGTAGGCAGAGTTATTTTATCAAAGCTAATGAACGATTGGAGATTGATGGATGAGCTTGCAGTGCTGCGTGCCATATACTTGTTAGGGTCAGGTACTTTTTCCTGCATTTTTAACTTCTAGTTTCTGTTATTTTGGTAGATATAGCTTCTCTAGAATTTTTCTTTTGATATCTGGTTGTCTTCAGGTGATCTGCTGCAGCACTTTTTAACTGTGATTTTCAATAAGCTAGATAAGGGAGAAACTTGGGACGATGATTTTGAGTTGAACACTATTTTACAGGTGGCTTAATTCAACAATTCTCATCTCTTCTTTAGCCTCCAATAATCACGGACTGCCTTATCCATTTTGAGTTGAAAATGGATCTGCAAAATTATTTAAGTGTTTTTAAATTTTTCTGTGCCAATAATTTTGCTATAATAATGGATCTGCATTTAATTACTTGCATGCTTTTGTACTCTCAACATGCGATAACAGCCCACATTAAGTGTCTTTCATTTCTCTTGCCCTGAAAATATAACACAAAATCAATCAGCATGAAGTGTTTTTTTTTTCTAATTTCACTTGCCTCATAAATCTATCACAATATGTTCTCTAAATAAAAAAAACATACCATAATAATGATGTGAACCTGTTGACTACAGGAATCCATTAGAAACTCTGCCGATGGAATGCTTTTAAGAGCTCCAGATTCATTAGTGGTGTCTATTATCAAAGGTGAAGGTCTGGACACTGAGGAGCAGCCCAATATAGCTCCTGTGCCTACAACTCCTCGTAAAAGTCGTGGACACGGCTTTGGAATTGATGGCCTTGATTTATTGAAGTTTACATACAAGGTCTTTTATAAATATATGTCTAGTATTTTTTTATTCAAACGCTCCTCTATCATTTCAGTTTTGCACATATTGCATTTAGCAGGTTCCTTGGCCACTTGAACTCATTGCTAATACAGAGGCTATTAAGAAGTATAATCAGGTATTTTATTTCTAGGTTGGTCATAATTAAGCAATTTTTTATCTGTTTTTTACTCTTTCTTTAATTGTTCTGTGTAATTTGTAGGTGATGACTTTCTTATTGAAGGTCAAGCATGCAAAATTTGTTCTTGATAAAGCTCGAAGGTGGATGTGGAAGGTTTACTTTTTCCCTCATTCCTTTTTTTATTGCATGTAAACAGACTTCTCTTCAGAAAGTTCACATTGTTGCAAAGGAGACAGATATCTGATGTGGAAGTCCAGGCTTTTTGCCTTTGTTCTGTTTTGTCCCTCACATGCTATATATTTGGAGAATGGGGTGACTGCCCGAAAAATTTTGAGAATCAGATAGTTTAGGGCCTATCAAGACCATATACTTCTAATTTGATCCATACTTCCCCTTTCCAGGCTAAAGGCTCTGCAACACCGAACCGAAAACACCATTGGTTAGTGGAGCAGAAACTCCTACACTTTGTGGATGCTTTTCATCAATATGTGATGGACAGAGTAAGATTTACCTGTTTCTCATTTGAATATTTCAAAATGTTGTGCTTTTATTTTGTAAATGTTATACTTTGCATTGGGGTACAGGTGAGTACATGCTTTTTTCTTCCTCTATTTTTCATATTTATGTTTTATCTTTCCAATTCTGCTCTTTTCTCATTTGACATTATATGCCTGTCCATTTCTTGACCTGTAAGCATTTGAGTTCACTTATAGTGTTCATGATTCCTCACCTAGCCCCTCCCTTTTATGTTGTGTGCTAAAGTAGTTCATGTTTTTTTAATCTTAGTTGGTGCATGCTTCAATTGGCTGACAAAATAAGTATTGAACTTTCAAGTTATGCCTCTATTTTGACATCAGTAGAATTAAGATTGTATTGACATCAAAAAAGGTGAATCTGAAGTGTACAAAATGTGTCTCCATCCAAATAGAATGTTTGTGAAAAAAAATAAGAAAAAATGAAAAGAGAGAAGAATTATTTCTTCAGCTTTTGGAAGACTTTCAATCCTGTGAGTCTTAAGTCCAAATCAGAGGCTTGACTCTCGTTCCCACATGGGTAGTGTTCGCATTTTTTTTTTCTGACTCTTTTGAATGGACTTTTTTGACAAGTTGTCTGGAGCCTTTGGCATGTATACCAGTAACAATTTAGGTTATGAGAAGAGATGAAAAAATAGATGAGAGGAATAGAGAGCAGAAAGAGAGATAAGAAGTAAGTGGAGAGAATGAAAGATAGAAATTTGACAAGAGCTGATGAATTAAATAAATTTCTGATAACATTCATCATACCTGAGAAATCAGGCGACATAGCTAATATATTCCTATGCAAGACTCTGACAAGAAAATCTAAATACAATAAAATGGTTATAATAGAAAAAGCAATACATAACTAATTTCTATCACTTGGACAATCCATTTTATTTCTTACTCAAACCTGGATCGAATAATGTTCGGTACAGTTTCCAGTCAAAATGTTTTGATTGAAACTTTCATTCTATTTCGGTCCGGTCCAGACCAATTTATATATTTTAATATTAAAAATTAAAATAATAAATATATAAATAATATATGTATATTTTATGTATTATGTAAATAAAATATTAAAATATTAAATGTATAAATAATATATATTTCGTTTAACATTTAAAAGTAAAATATTAGTATATAAATAACATATTTAAAAAAATAAAATGTTTTGGACAAATTTCAGTTCACTTTGGTCCAAGGACCAGACTGATCTGAAAATTTTCAGTCCGGTCCGATTCGAGTTGAAGTTACATCAGTCCGATATTTTAGTGTTGGAAATTTTTTCTGTTTGATTTCGTTTCAATCCGGCTTGGTTCCAGACTGATGCTCACCCCTATTAAAATTTTCAAGTTTTTTGGTTTATTTCTCATTCTAGGTCAATTGATAGTCATTTTATTCGTGGTGCTACCGTTCTTAATTCTTGTCCAATTTCTAAAATCCTAAATTCCCATCACATAAACCAAAAGACCCTTGGAGCTGCAAAGCCACAGCCAAAGGGACCTTTCAATGATGGTAGGCTGGGGCTGCATTCCTTTAGAGAGCTAAACAATGCTCTACTGTGTAAATGGATTTGGCAATTCTGGAATGTGGCTGATTGTTTATGGAAGAGGGTTTTCTTGTGTAAATGGTTTCGCGTTGACTATCACCAACCATTCTTTCATTGAGAAGAGCACTTATGGTTTGAGCCTGTGGAAAAGCATTTGGAAGCACAACCATCTTGTTCTTCACTGTTCTACTTGGAAAATTGGGAATGGCTCCAAAATCAGGTTCTGAAAAGATCTTTGGTGTGGTACCACTGTATTACAAAATAGCTTTCCTCTCATTTTTGCCATTTCCAAAGACAAATATATTACGGTTAGGCAAGCTTCTGAAGATGGCAGGACCTGGAACATTGAAGTCACTAGATACTTGCAGGATTGGGAGATTGAGGAATATGAAAAATTGCTTCAAACCATTGCTTCCCATCTTCCAAATAATGGGGAGGACAAACTGAGCTGGAATCACACAAAGAATGATATTTTCAGTGTTCGCTCACTGTACGACTTCTTCTGCAACTCCTCTGCTCCCAAAAACCGCCAAATTCCCCACAAAGCTCATCTGGAAAACCCAGCCCCCTCCCAAAGGAACCCCGCTGCTTTTTTCGCCTGGAATGCCATAAAGGAACGCATCCTCACCCTTGACAACCTTATGAAGAGGGGTTTTCAGTTAGCTAGCAGATGTTTTCTATGTAAAAATTGCCAAGAAACATCAACCATTGTTTGTGCTGGTGCCCATTTACTTCTAATCTTTGGTCCATGGTTTTTGGGCTGCTTGGTATCTCTTGGATCATGGCTGGTTCTGTGTCCAATGAAATCCTTGCCTGGAAATATTTGTCAGCAGGAAAAGACAGCTTGGTTTAGCTCCGTTGACTATTTTCTGGATCACATGGAAGGAAAGGAACAAAAGAGTTTTTGAAAGAAAAGAGTCTGATTTTGTATCTATCAAAGGATAAATGGTCCCATGTTTTCGGTTCAATTATTTTGGGGAACTCCATTAATAGCTTTGAAGATTTTGGCTACATTGTAGATATAGTCATTGATCTGTAAATCTTCTGTAACGAGTGGTGCTCCCTTGGCATCATCATATCAATACTACTCACTTTTTTTTTTAAAAAAAAAAGACATTTGTGATTGTTGATTAGATTTGACTTAGACAGCTGTATATGGTTACCACATATTGCTAGATGGTTAGGAAAAAAGGTCAAACAATGAGAAATTATTTAGCCTGTTTTTCCTATCAGATAAAGAATTGATTTTATCACATGTGAAATACCTGTTTTGGTGAATTGATCACATGTGAATTGTAACACCCCAAACTCGATATGAGACACAATTGCTATTCATGTTAGTTTCATATAATGGCCCCACAAAATATACATATGCATAACTCAAAAATTTATCATACAAGTTAAAATGTCATGCGATATATACAGTAACTATATATACAGAACATGAGATCAAAATCTAGAGTTTAATAAAATAAAATGAAAATTTCTAGAATATGAATAAATGTACATAATCAAAAATCTTTTTAGAGATTTTACTCGTCTGACAACAGATCTAACTCTTCTTTCTCATCTGAAAAATATCAGGGTGAAATTTAATGAGTTTCACCAACTTAATTAGTATTTCCATCCTTTCAAACCAGATAAGATTTCTTGCAAAACACACAATATAAAACAATGCAGTAGTGATGTTTCAATGTAAAATTCATTTATTATTTTCACCATTTTACATGTTTCTGATCGGATTTTTGAATTTCTCTCGAATATCATTTACAATTCTCGAATGTATATCCACATACTCCTTAAAGAACACATATATACTCTCAAATATCAATTATAATATCAAAATATAACCACATACACACGAAAGATCACATATACACTCGAAATGTCATTTTTAAGATTTTCATCGCGCGATGTCGTTTATGTCATCATCGAGAAGAGGCGAAATGGATCCTCTCATTATATAGATAGCACACACACACAAATCTCACAATGGCCACAGCAGGTATGTTTGTTAGGTGGCTCACACTCACAAATATCTATTCACGTTTGAATTAGGTTTCAAACTCTATTTATGTGCAGGTTCACCATGCCCGCTGAATTTCAACCACACACACACATTCCCCTTCTCGATTCAGACTAAATGAAAAGAGTATTCAGGATCCATACTCTAATCACTTGCATCTTCTCGTTTCCATTTCCTTATTTGCTTTCCTCATATTCTATTTTTATCTTAAATTTTATTTAAATTGATCGTTCCACAATCATAACTATTCCTTTTCATTTTTATTTTTATTTGTTTATATTATTTTCTTTTCTTTTTTACCCGTCCATTTAATTCGAAATTTCTTTTAAGTTTAAATTCATTTTTCATCACATTTCAGGTATTCCTCAGTTTTTGGGTTTGTTTTCTGGTTCCATCTCATCATAAATTCTCATAGTTTAGGATTCACTTATTATAGATTCGGGTTCTTTTGTTCATCGAAATTTGGATCAGTATCCGTTCTAATTTTAAAATACACGAAATTAATAAAATACATGCAAAATTCCAAAAATTCTAATCTAGATTCAGAATCAGAAATACTTACACTCCTACGCAACAATCTTCCTGGATCCGCCCGAACATCCTAATTCTCTGTACGCGCACGACATCAATTAATTAATATAATTTAAATACTAAACAAAAACTAATTTAATCAAAATTACGGGTTTCAATGACAATCCGACAGAATACCCAGTTCGCGGCGTAAGGGTGAGCAATTTGCGCTTTTACGATCCCGGTTCTCAAACCCAGAACATTGGGTTCCGTACCCGAGAAAGATCTTTCGGCTTTCCGTTTGGTGGATCGGATTCCCGAATCGATGAATTGGGCCCCCATTTCTGAGGAAGGCCCCTCGGCTTCCAATGGTGGGCCGGTTTTCCACTCTCGCGGAAGGCTCCTCGGTTCTCGACCGGGTAGGTGGCCAGGCTGAGCTCGCGCGGCCTACCCGACACCGACC